AATCATTATGACACAATAGCAGTTTGTTTACCCCATCACACCAGTATCATATGTGGCTCCTGGTTCTGGCAAACACACTGGCATTACAGATGAGTTGAATGTGAGTGTGTCTTCCAGTTTGATCAGTGCAATGTCATTGTTGTAGTCTACATAGTTGGGGTTGTTGTACTCAGGGTGAACATGGATTGAGGCAGCAAACAGAGGAGATTTTATGAGGGCTTTTAGCTCATTAAGTCCCATGAAAATCTGCAAGTCAATATCATAAAAGGAAAGATTTACCAAGCGAATCCCAATCAGACAAAGATCATACAAAGTAATGCTCACAGTCAACTACTTACCCGTAGAGTTTCATTTGATACCACCACTCCCCTTTTTACTACATAATGAGCTGCTGTCATAATCCACCGGTCTCCAATCACCATGCCTCCTGCCCTGTTTCCACTTACACTCAGTAGCACTTGCCAGGGGATTGTATTATCTGGAGCGTCTTGGCCTCCAAAGATCCTCTGATACACATTGATGTGATTTGTTGGCTGACCACAAACTGGATAAGATGAACAGAACTCAGGTGTAAGCAAAGGCTTCATGCTTTCATTTTGAAGTCCTAAATTTGTTATTAGAGTATTTTATTTTGACAGCACATCAGTACCTGCTATGCAGGTTGGGAGAGGGAGTTGCCACTGCCCGTCGCTTTGACACATGGCTGAGAATGTCTTAATCTCTTGTTGTCCCTGAAAATATATGACTGTTACACACATTTTCTAATTGACAAATTCACCAAAGAAAAAACCTAAAGAAAAATGAAGAAAGATCTGCTTCTGTTGCTCAAACACAGACACATGGAGATAGCAAAAAAACTCTATAAATATCCTGTGAGGGAAAAGAGGCTGTTAATAAAGTTCACTGATGCACACTGTAGTAAACAATGAAATGTCATATTACCATCATCAACTTGTATTCTTGGTCACAAGTGACATGGATCGAGTCTCCACTAAAGTATTCATTTAAATCAGGAGTGATCCTGCCTTTTGTCACACTCCCTGGGTGTGGACATTTCACCTCTGTAAAGAACGCAGCAACCAAACATGAATGAACAGCATGAGAAAAATAGTTTTAAACTGCTAACGTGGAAATGCCACCTCTCCTCCTCACCATGTGTGCTATATTGCAGGCTCCAGCCGTTGCTCAGACCTTCCTCCTCAGTGTGGTAGTCCAGCCTGACTGTACTTGAGTTCGTAACTATCAGACCAGGACTCTTTGTTCCACAAAATTTCATAGCTAATCTGCCTGGAATGGTCACCTATGAGGGGAGAAATAGTGGAAGGCTACATACAGACCAGAGGAGCATGGTTTGTAACTTTTAATCCCTGTGGGTACCGCGAGTCATTACCTGTAAAAAGTGACCTTGGCAGCTTGAACCATGCTGATTATCTTTATTATCAATGTGAAAATTGTCTCTGAAGTTGAGCGTCACGATGAATCTGGGCTCCACAGAGATGATGTACTTGCAGGAGAGAAAAGGGGGTGAGGGTTTAGGATACCCTGGACTGGACAGATGTCCTTCATGCTTGTCAAAAACACACCCACCACAGGACACTGGGCAAGAACCAAAGGTCAGTATAATAATAACAGTAAGAGAATCAGTAATCAGCATACCACCTCAACCATATTCTAGCGACTGAGCTTCATATGACAAGTATTAATGTACAAAAAGGCCTCATTTCTTGTATTCGACACTTACACAGACATGTGCGCTGGTCTAAATGAAGCTTGTAACCACTGTGGCAGGAGCAGCGGTAGGACCCAGCAGTGTTGATACAGATTTGAGAGCAAAGCGGACCTGAATCCAGTCCTGGGTCTGTTTTGGAACACTCGTCTATGTCTATTTAAAGAATATTTACTGTGTTAAACTTTTCCTGAAGCTGTTGATGAAATAGTACATTAATGGGAGTTGGAAAATTTCAGGAAAACTGTACCTATTGCCTTATACGTGGCAGAAAAACCAGTATGTTGTTGATGCTCTGGTGTAGAGTCCCTTGTTTGGAATACGAGAGTCAGTTTGTTGCCTGGAGAAAGGATCGTCTCGTCACCATGGTGATCAGTAGAGTTTCCCTGGCCACAAAACTTTCCCAAAACCTTTTCATCGTAGAAAAACTGGAAAATTAAGTCAAAACTCATGTTAACAAACTGCTTTTGTAAAAAAAACCAAAATTCTAAACCAACGTCTTAATTCAAATTAACTTCCAATCAAACTGAATGAATGAATACACTAAAATTGAAAACTGCAATATAAAAAGTTTTGTATCTTGTTTGAAATATTTTTTAAATTCAGATCTAATCAAAGCTCTGACTGTGAGAGAGTCTTGACTGCAGTCTGCAGAAACTTTAATATCCAGATGTGTTAAAGACAGCTGGATCTGGTAACCTCTGGGAACCCAGAGGTCCCATTGCTTTTGCAGGTGGGGAGGATAAGGTCGCGGATATTGGGGAGACTGGATTTGTCCGTGCATTTCAGGCTCAGTGGTGGACAGCTGCTGGCACTCGCTCACTGAAAACCACAGAAACCTGGAAAAGCAAATAAACAGAGAGCTGGAGCTGAGTCAGTCGTCCAAAGTTGATGCAAACAGAACAAGAGCAAATAAAGTGACACAACCGCTGATTTTCACTTTAATTTTAACATCAACTTTCTTCAATCACCAAGCTGATTTCTTCTATATTACTAACAATTTGTTCAACGTCTTCAACTTTAACAGCTATATGTCTAGAACATTGGTTGTAGATGAAGCATAATGATTTAAAAAAAACATCATATAACAAAAAGCTCTGCAATACTGATGGGCTCCATGAGCTTAATGAGAAATTCACCGAAATAAAAGATTCTTTAATACAATGAACAAATTAAAAAAATCTTCATCACACTCACCAAATGATGCAGTGGGTCCAGCCCATGTTTGTAAAGCTCTGGTGTCGATTGTACTTCCAGAAGAGATGTCTCAGACTGGAGTGAACCATGACTGTCACACAGAAGATGATTAGCTGTATTTAGCACTGGAATTTGAACTGGACTTTTTGTCTTCAAGCTTCTTCTTTTTTTTCTTTGTTTGCTTTGGTAAAAACAAGTAGAAACATGATTTGTATGGGAGAAAAAATGCCAATAATGCCTCGAACATGGTTGCACATAAAAGCCGAAAGAATTTAAGTTCGTATCAAGTACAAACCTATAGAGAATGAGCCGAAGGAAAAGCACGTGGAAAGAGAGCGGGCCTTCTTTGCATATAAAAGTATTGCTTAGTAATGTTAGAGTGGGATGAAATGACTGATGATGTGGTTATTGTTTTTAAAGTGGGAGGATTTGATTAATCTTAGACACAAGAAAAAAACACATGCAGATCTGCATTAACTATCTTTATTCAAACGTAGTAAAAGACAGGCTTTGCAGGGATTTAAAGATAATGCATTGACTTACAGACAGTAAATCAATAACTGAATTTATAGAGTTTTTTAATGAAATATAGATTAAAAATTCTCAAATCAAACTCCACAACAGAGAAAATTTAGTTTATTATGCAATTTTTTTTCTCATCGTGTATTTACACCGTGTTGTTCTGAATTACTGTAACTTTAGTTCTCCTGCATGGTCTTCTGGATCCAGTTCAGGTAATTAGCGACTCTGGTATAGACTCCATATGTGCCCTTTCTTCCACACTCAACCCCCCAGCTGACAATCCCAGCAGCCCATTGTCGCCCATCTTTAGTCAGAGTGAAGGGGCCCCCAGAGTCACCCTGGCATGAGTCCTTCCCACCTTCAGGGAGTCCAGCACAAAACATGTTATTTGTTAAGTCTGGTATGTTGTTATTTCTTCTCCTTGCCGAAGTGACTGAATCCCTGCATGTCTGCTGGTCCACCACTGGGAGATAAACATACTTCAGTTGATTTGTTAGAATCTGACGATTATTCTCGTTTGTAAGACCAAAGCCAGACACCAGCCTGAAAGAATACAAAACACATTCATTGTGGGCTCAAGTAAAATTCTTACTAATCCAGCACCTTAAAGATAATAGCTTATCAAAATAAAGTGGTTAACAAACAACGAGAGCACTTAAAAGTAACATCAAATTTTATACAGTGTAGATGACATTAAAGAGACTTCAAAATCATTATGACACAATAGCAGTTTGTTTACCCCATCACACCAGTATCATATGTGGCTCCTGGTTCTGGCAAACACACTGGCATTACAGATGAGTCGAATGTGAGTGTGACATTCAGTTTGATCAGGGCAATGTCATTGTTGTAGTCTACATTGTTGGGGTTGTTGTACTCAGGGTGAACATGGATTGAGGCAGCAAACAGAGGAGATTTTTTGAGGGCTTTTACCTCATTAAGTCCCATGAAAATCTGCAAGTCAATATCATAAAAGGAAAGATTTACCAAGGGAATCCCAATCAGACAGAGATCATACAAAGTAATGCTCACAGTCAACTACTTACCCGTAGAGTTTCATTTGCTACTGCCACTCCGTTATTTACTACATTATGAGCTGCTGTCATAATCCACCGGTCTCCAATCACCATGCCTCCTCCCCTGTCTCCCCTTACACTAAGTAGCACTTGCCAGGGGATTGTATTATCTGGAGCGTTCTGGCCTCCAAAGATCCTCTGATACACATTGATGTGATTTGTTGGCTGACCACAAACTGAATTGGATACAAACTTACATATAAATCTCACACATCAATTTCCCATTAAATTAACCATTTGATCTTCATCAAGTTTTGCGGGATGGAAATGTATACCTGGTAAACAAAGTGGACTGTCAATAACTTCATGGGTTGATCTCCATTTCCTGTCTGCATCACATGTGAAGTTAACTGAGGAGCAGAAGAAGAAACAATGTGACTTTTACATTTTTTTTTTGCTGATCCTCAAGAGTTTCAGTTCTCCCCCTTGTGGAAGAAATGTAAAGGGTATATATTTCCAGTTAAATCATGTTAGCATTTAAATCTTATTTAAGTTTTGAATCATGGTAGTATATATCATGTATCATCATATCAGTATGTCATGATAGTTTGACTGAATGAGAATCGCACATTATAGTTAATGGAGCCTGCTAATAGTAAAGTTTCAGAACTGTGCAAAAGGAAAGTAATGAACAGTAGGAATCCAAAACAGATTGCACTATTAACATCTCACCGTTTGCATCCCCAAGGAGAGAGTAAAATGGTTCATTGCAGCGATACTGAATAACAGAAAGATACTGATTCTGAAACCCAGAAAGGAAGGCCACGCCTCCGTTCAGCAAGGGGTCAGGTTCTCCGCAATCAATTACTGCAGAGGAACAAAACAAGAAAATACAACAAAATGCACTTTGTCTGTGAACACTAGTATGGATGGAGAAGACTTTGTGTATATATGCTTAGAGACGACCTACTGTGGCATTCTGGCAGAGGAAGGTGCCACTGCCCATTGCTTTGGCAAATGGAAGAGAAACTCTCCATCTCCCGACCATTCTTTAAAGAAGGGTATAAAAACCATGTTTTACATTATACACAGTAACCAGGAAACAACTATTTTGTTTTTCACTGTTAAAAAGCACAATTTCAGCTAACCATCATCAGCTTGTATCCTTGATCGCAGCGTACATAGATGTAATCTCTGAAGAGATATTCACTCAAATTAGGAGTGACCCTGCCTTTAGCTACACTTCCAGGTGATGGACACTTCATCCCTGGAAACAGCAAAAACAATCAAACATATATTTTACACTGAGATTTAAACCCAGAAGGACAACCAGGAGAACTGCAGTTGCTTGATGACATGTTACTGTGTGTGCTGTAGTCGAGGCTCCAGCCATTGCTCTGTCCTTCATCATCAATGTGGTATTCCAGCTTGACCATGTTTGAGTTTGTGACTATCAGTCCTGGGCTCGTTTTGCCACATAGCTTTGTGGGCTGTTCGTCTCTGACAGTCAACTTTTTAGGAGAGAGTAGTGCACAGTTTATTAATTGTATGACATATAGAGACATTTTTATTTCCTGTGATTTTGATGAATCTAGGTGTGCTGAAATCGCTCGCCATTACCTCCAACCAGTGATGGAGACATTGCGGGCCCTCTGGGCTGTCCATGCTCTCAATGTGGAAGTTGTCAGTAAAGTTTAGAGTAATAGTGAAGCCCTCTTGTACAGAAATGACATACTGACAGGACACAGCATGAGGTGGGTGATTAGGGTATCCCGGACTGAACAGATGCCCCTCTGGTTCATCAAATATACCACCGCCACAGGATACTGGGCATGAGAGAGAGGAAAGAAACTGAGAAACTTTACCCTCTTAATGAATTGACTGAAGTGTTTGAGGATAATTTGGGGAGTCCTTACACAATGTTTTAAGTCCAGAATCAAAAAAGTGATAATAATTAGTGCTGTTTGATGACCCAACTACCTACAACATTAAACCCAGACTCCCCATCCTCTCCTCTTTTTTATAGTGCTTTTGGTAATCTTGAGATCCTACATGTTTGAATGTGTTTGTGAAGTGGAGCTAAGTTCTCCCAGCAGACTCCAGTTTGATGGTCTGAGCATACATTCGTTGGAAGCATCTTCATGGTACTCACACACACAGGTGCGCTGATCAGAGCGAAGTTCATAGCCATGATGACAGGAGCAGAGATATGAGCCAAGAGTGTTGAGGCAGATCTGAGAGCAGAGTGGCCCTGAGCCATCTCCAGGCTCTGGTGCAGAACATTCATCTATGTCTAATAATGAGAAGTCATTACGTTAGTGTGAGTTGGCGCAGCAGTAAAAGAAGGAAGTGCAAGAAGCAGAGGTGGAGGAGCTACCTATTGCATGGTACTGGGCAGAGAAGCCCAGATTCTGGTGGGCCTCCGGGTTGTTGCTGTCTGATTGAAAGATGAGGGTGAGACTGTTTCCTGGAGACAAGATGGGCTCGTTGCCTGGGTGATGCCCATCAGCAGAATTCTCACTGCCACACAATTTCCAGAGGGCCTTCTCTTTGTAGAAAACCTAAAGGATCAAAGAATAAAATCCTACATGAAAATAAGGCAAAATCCAGAAGATGAAAATTTATGTTCAGTTCATGGGTTCTTCATTTAAATGTCTAAGATGGTTAAAAGTGCCAGAAAGGCCAAACATAATCCAATGACCGGCCAGAACTAATGCTAAGTTTAGTTAAGTCAACATCAAACTGGATATAGTAATGCAGAGAAAAAAATCTGTTCAGTTATGTGTCCCTCTACCATTTTAAATTCTGTGCAACGTCACAGTAAAGACTGACTCTGAAACTTTTTGTCATAGCAGCAGCGATACAATCTGCTGATAAGCTACAGCTATCTGTTGCTGTTGTCTCCAGTGGTTATACACTGTTGTAAATTTTTAACTTACAATTATCACAATCAACAAGATGATCACGGTGATTACCAGGGTTATCATAGTTTCAGTTTAGTCTTTTTTAAGTATTATTGTATGGATGTATATTTCAGAGGCAAGATTTAGGAAAATCAAGTACTACAATAAAAACACGCATTTTTGAAAGCAGTTGACTGACAGTCCTCTAGATATCCAAAGTCTCATTAAACATGTTTGGCAACATCTCATCAGACAAGTGTCGATAAAATTTTGTGACTCTGCAATTATATTTTATTTTAATTTCCCAACTTTAAAAAATAATTTCAGTTAGTTTTAATTTTATTCAAAAGTTTTTCAAAACTTTTACATCTAGTTTTAACTATAATAACCTTGTTAATTACCTTGACAGAAACATGAAAACATATGTAAGTGGTAAACTCAAATCAGGTTGTCAAGCGTTGCTCTTGAATCATATTTGGGTTTTCACCTTAAGCTATTTATTAATATTATGATTTTTAGGGTAATTCTGTATATGTATTGAAATATGGGTCTGACTGTAAGTGAGTCGTAGTAGCAGTTCGCAGAAGCTTCAATATCCAAATGTGTGAAGGTGAGTCGAATCTGGTAGCCCTCAGGGACAACGAGGTCCCACTGCTCCTGCAGGTTGGGAGGGTAAGGCTGAGGGTACAGAGGGGATTGGACCTTCCCGTACATTTGAGGCTCTGGTTCTGGCAGAGGTGAGCACTCACTCACTGAGACATACAGAAACCTAGAAAGGTACAAAAAAGGAAAGAGTTTGATCTGTTTATCAGTCTGCAGTCATCTGATCTGCCAGTCCAAAGTTGATACAAACAGAGAAGAACAAACACAGTGGCACAATCGACACCACTGTGCAAC